ACACACACACACACACACACACACACACACACACACACACACACACAGAATTTCCTCTTTAGGCCACTTCAGCCGCATCATTTTAGCATAAAGCATTTCCCTTCCCGCAGCCCAGTTGTTTTTCTCCTTGGAGCCAGGCAAGAAAATGATGTTTGCTTTTCATATATTCAAACAAGCATATATTTCGGACCGGAGGCTCTGATTTCATTCATATAGAGAGCTGGTGGGGATGAAGCTCCTTCTACTATTGATTTTTACCCTGAGACATTGAGAGGTTACGTAACTTGCCCAGGTCACTTGGTCACTATAGGGGTGGGACTTGAACCCTGAAGCCAGCTCTTTATCAACAGTGCCCTTCGTATACATGTATAGGAAAAGTATACTCACTTTGATATACATATATATAAGAAAAGTGTGTGCTCTGCGTACATACACATACATGAAGAGTATGGCTTTATTGCCTGACTCGAAGGAGAAAAATGATGGGAATGAGAAAAGAGGAATATTTTGTGCTAAAACTGTACGGCCAAGGTAGCATAGAGGGGAAATTCTCTGGGCACAGACTTGGCATTCTGTATAATTGTCAGCACAAGGAGCCTCATGAATGTCAAATGATGACATCTCGATATGCAGAAACATCCAGAAATTGTTCTCAGGAAACTCTGAACAGAATAATTTAAATTGCCAATTTAAAAAAAAAATCAAGTAAGAATTGAAAGGCATAGGGATAGTATGTAAGCCAATAGGTGAGGCAGAAATAATGATACTGTCTAATCAATGCAGGCTTGGGCGAAGTGGCACCAAGCCAATGGACCACCTCTCTGAAAGCACTCGTCTCTTGCATGGCTGATGAGGGGCACAAGATTGTTTATTTACGGACACCCTTTTTACAACCACATTGTGTTACAGCTAGGGATGGAATCCTTCCTAAGGCTTAGCGTACATATATTATTTGGGCAGTTAACAAATCTATGATTTGTGTTATTTACCTTTCTATTCCTAAAGTTAATAAGGATCTATGCCCTAACTACAAGTCAGATATCAACAAAAGCGCCGTAGGACATTCAGTTGTTGGGTTTGGTTTGCCATGTGGGTGTTTGTGTAGATTTGTTGTAATAAGTACGTGGCTATAAATTGCATCCCTCCTCTGAAGGAGACACAGAAAGAAATCTGAATCCAGTAGCAGAAAAAGGGATGTTTCGAGCAGAAATCTTAAGGCTGCTCCAAGATCCTTTTTCAGGAGTGTCAGGGTATTTTCTTGTCATGGGTGGTTTGGGAATTTGCTTTGTCTGGTTGGTGTGTTTGCCATGGGGAGTGGCAGGGGCATTTACTACTTGAATGGAGAACAAAGAACTCGCTCAGCTGCCGATTGGTTTTCTTGGGTAGGGACTATGTTGCCGTGGTGATTTTAAAGCCATGTTGCCTCCCCCTTTGACTTGGCAATCACTTTGGTGGTGCTCACCCTTTCGTGGACTGGCACTTGTGCTAAAGATTGTTCATCTGGGCAGTCCTTTTATTTGGAGTTGCTTGGGTTTTACAAGTGTTTGTTTAACTCCAAGGAGCCAAGGTCAGTGAATGTGCTTTCACAGTCTAATAATCAAGGCAGCCTGAGGCATAGGTGATCTAACAGAATCATGGTGCGTGAATTTGCTGAGTCATCTTCCTTCCGGTCATCACCATCTTTAGCGCTAACACGCACACTGACCTAATGCTCCACGCTATGGTAGAAAGAGCTCTCAATTTGAGTTTGAGCTCCTGGGTTCAAATCCCTGCTGTTATTTACTGTCACCTAGATCAAGGGTTCTCCACCCTTCTTGGGCAGCCTGGTGAAGCCTAGGGACCCCTTCTCAGAATCACGTTTTTAAATAATTAAAGGAAATACTAAATTTCACTTAGAGATTAGTGAAAATAAAGGTGAAAGTATTTTGTTTTTACCCTTCAAGTTCATGAACAACCTGAAATCCATCCACAGACCTCTTAGTAGGGGCCCGTTTAGCTTAAGAATCACTGGACAAAATGATCATTAAAATTCCTTCCAGGGGATAAAATCCCATAATACTGCTTTATTTCTAGATATGCAATTAGGGGAAGGGGTGGAGTCAGGACCCATGACTTTGCTCCGTTTGTGAAAACTAATGCTGAGCTGAGTCATCTGTAACTTAGAGAGTTGACTGCAGGCACCAAAAGTGGTGTAAAACGGCTAGTTTGTGGCCAATTTTCACGACTCAAATGCCAGTCCTCTAACCCCTTTTTCTTGGTTTTCAAAGTTGTGGCTTGGTACAAAGAGACCTTGGTAGAGTAACGTGAAATGCATTCAGCAGCTGCAGATCTTCAGCTCGGGGCCTTCTGAAACCTGGACCTTCTGAAAATGTGCTGAATTTGAAACCCGTATTTCTGAGTTTGAGCACCACTTACCGAGTGACCTCAGGAAAATACCAACCTCTCTGAACCTTTTTCCTCTGTCAAGTCAAGGTAATAGTACTTCTACTACTCACTTCACAGGGTGCTCGTAAGAATGAAATCGTGCATGTAAAATGATGTTTAAATGCAAGCAATTATTAAAACTGCTGGAAACTCTCACTCAGAACCTGTTTACTGTATTGTTCCTCTTAAATCTAACATGTTTGGTTTCCCAGATTGTAACAAATTATAGGAAGATGCCACTTACAGCAGCAAAATATGATCACTCACAACCACTCAGTTGGGGAAGAGGAGAGAAATTAAGGAAAAGCAGACACGCCTTCAAGAAAACAAGGTAATCTGGGACCTTTTGAGGGCATTACTGCAGAGTCCAGTTGCTGGTTTTTGTAATGGGGATGATGTCCCACAAAAAGTGGAGCCCAGAGAGGTCAGGCAAGGGACTTAA